ATAACTTTATATTAATAGTTATAACTTTTAATCTGATCATATTTCATACACTAGAAGATTTTAAAAGCCATATTTCATACATAGTTAATAGCACATTGCAATCAAACATTGAGAAGGCCTTTTGTTAAGGTCTAGAATTTACTACTCATTAATATACAGATTGAGCTTTTATTTATATAAGACTTGGACTTTGTATTTTATTTTACCTATAATTTAAGTAAGTCGGTTGTTTGAATTTAATTTTCAACTCATAGTTAATTAGGGCTTATTTTCTTTTAAATCAAACATATAAATACTCTGTTATTTTTTTATTGTGAAAAAAATATATTGGATTTTGAAGTAAAAATTATATAAGCATTTTTATCTTTGGTTTTTCATTGAATATTTCAGAACTTATCAAAGAATTCATCTTTGTGGCATTCTAACAATATATATCTTGATTCTTGATTCAAGTAATAAATAGGTCGAGGTTTTTAATCTGATTTTAACTATTTTTAGATAAGTATTTCAATTCTTGATTATACGTTGTAGAATTTTACCCTTTAGTTTAACATCACAAGCTGAGTTTAAGCTCATAGAAATTGAGGTGAAGTGAGCGAGAAGGTTGAAGAGAAGAAAAGGGAAGAAAATTATAAAAAAATGAATAATAAAAAAGAGTTTTGGGTTATAAATTTGGTTAGTTTGAAGTTTGAAATATAAAGTTAGAGAGGGGATATAAGAAGAAAAGTAAAGGAAGAAGAAAAATAAAAAAGAAAAAAAGAAACTAAATGAATTCGAGAAAACCCACCTCAAAACCTGTTTACCATCAGTACATTATTATCTCTACCACGACAACTCCTCCCTTATTTGGAACCAACTGTAATATAAACCAGTTCTTTTTTCTTCTTTTACAGTAGGTTTCGCAATGAGTTACTATTACTATAACATTATTCATTCAAGCATTGTTATTTTATTTTTATAATATATATATATATTCTTGCCTTTTTTAGCATGTATGTACATATAAAAATTCATTTTTAAAAGTAGGCTACTATTCACCTAGTTTTTTCCCCCTTCGTGTTGCATTATTTGCATTTTATAAAATTATATTTTTATCTCTTTACATGTGTATATAAATATTTATTTTTAAAAAATAATAAAAACAATGTCCATAATTTTTGATCTGGTTAGTGTCATGTTTTTGTTTATACTTGGGGTTTAATAGATATACTGACATGTCTCCTAGTTTTTAAGATCAATATAAAACTAGCATAATTTTTTTAATCTTAAAATGAGTTCAATAATGAGTTGACATATTTTTATCAAATTAGCATCAAGTTTTGATTTTGATTTTAGTAATTAGATCAACATATTTCCTAATTTACTACTAACATGCATCCAGTGTGATATATTAAAAAAAATAAAATTAATAATAAGTCCACAAGTCTCCATCATGAGACAAGGGTGGTATTCTATTCAAATTTTATTTTGTGTGAAACAATAAATAAATAAAGATTATAAAGAGATCTAGAAATATTTATATATTAAAAATATTATTGAGTTGTGAGATTTCTGATACTAACTTGACAAGCATTGACCAATAATAAATAGTTTTTGAATAAGTTTAGAAAATATTTTAAATAATGGCATGGCTAAAATAAATTTTTACAAAAAAATATATAATAAAAACAACCTTTTCTTTTGATTTTATTTTTCATTAAATAGGTTTAAACAACTATTCAATCATAAAATAATAATAATAATAATAATAATAATAATAATAGGAATTACCAGCTACCTTAAAAGGCTAGCGTTTCCTGTTCTAGACACGTAGTAGACCTAGCAATTCCAAGTTCTTTACCTTTTCTATTTTCTTCTGCTCTTCTTGGTGGATCCTTCCTCAGCTGGCTTGTCTTTGCTTGTTGACTCCCGGTCAATAAAAGAATGGTATCGACATTGAATCTTCTTGTAATCATCCTACGTTGATGTGATTCCCTGCTGCTACACCGGATGTATGCAACACGGCGAAAGAACTGTTATACGAAAGCCTGTGGATGCGATAATTCGTCCATGATTCCTCTCAAACACACATGTATACCACCAAACAAGATAAAGAAAAAAAATAACGTTTTTAAAAGAAATAAAAAATTTAATTTTTTTAGAAAATATTTTCAAAATATAAAAATAAACAATACAAACTAGCTAGCTTCAGTTTTAATTATACCATTTTTCTTTAATGTTTCTAAAAGGCTTTAGAGCAGCTTCAACCGAGCAGCTAAATAAAAGTCAAACAAATAGCCAAAATGGCTATTTGTTTTCTTAACAACCAATTTTTCAT